TGATCCTCTTCGAATTTCAAATTACAATATGCCTTTTGATTGCAAACTTAGTAGTTAGATGGGTTTACTGGCCGAACTTATATATGCCATGGGAAGAAAATTCTATACCACAAACGCCAATTGTTTAATAATGTGTGTTGAAAATCAGTTGCATAATGCTTTAAACTTCGATGATTCTTGGTGTCTTGCCAACTTTTTAAAAAGTCAAATATCCAAAATTAATTTCTGAATATGGCTTTACTTTTCAACTTTAGTAATTCGCATTTTCATGGCAAAAAAAAAAAAATAAATAAAAATAAAGATAATTTAATTAGCTAAATGGAAGCTTTATTTTTCATCTTTAGTAATACACATTCCCATAGCAAAAATAATAATAATAAAAATAATTTAATTTGCTAAATTGACAACTTTATTATTTTTTACATTTTCCTTGACTTATTTTCAGATAAAATAACTTTCTAAATTATATAGCTTATGACGATTGACATATTTTACACAAATAATAAATCATGTCTTATATTCGGCGTTCTCTGGATTGTAAAAGCAGAAATATATGACATATCTGATCACTTAATAAAACTATTTCATAGTTCTTAGTTGTTTAGTAGTACTCAAATGACGTTTTATTTAAATTTCATCTTTGAGGATCGATATATAAGAAAAAACGCTGAAAAAGTGCTGCAAAAAATTTGTTGTAGTGAAATTAAGGCCAAATCGAGGGCAATGTCGAATGAAACTCATCTATCAGGGTTATGGAGAAACAAGGCGATATGTTTTTCATGTTTTTCCTAGCTGCAGCAAAATTACCTTTTACAAAAACTAATTCTTTCTAAAATCAAGTTTACATTAAAGTGAGACTCATTTCATCCGTTCCCACTACAAGTGGCGCTCGTAACTAGAAAATCCACATAAATAATTACTACAATCCCATACTTCCCTAATTGTCTTTACACATCACATAATTTTTCAAATCATATCTTCTTGGCAACTCTACTCGTTCTCCGTGCTTAGTTTTTGCGTATTATCTTTGCAACAAGTTGTGCATTTTAAGTCGGAGTTTCGGTCGAGTTTCTAATTGTTTTTTATTTGTTTAATTCATTGAAACGGTTGCGATTTAGTTAATAAATATTGTGGAAGTTAATAACAAACATTTTGTTAATGATTTTATTCATAAAAGTCTACTTTTATTTATTTGTTGTGTTGTTCATTATCTGTTGGTTGCAGTTCTCTGCCGACGTCATTGTGGCGCAGCAAGTTTACATTTAAAAGAGTAATAAGGAAATATCCTTTATTTGTTATTTAAAAAGTGAAGTGAAATGTGAAGTGTTTTAGAAAATTCAATTATTAAGTGCATCTATAATTTTGCTTTTGCATCAACTTTGTGAAATTTCTGTATTTGCTTTGTTATTCTATACGTTTGCGTGCGTTTGTTTGTTATCTCAGTCAACGTCGACGTTGGATCTCTCGGATTGGATTTCTCTCTCTCACAGCTCAAAGGCTCTCAATGATTTTGCTGAGCTTTGGTGACAATACAATTGTAATGGACATTCAAGGTATCGAAGGTGAGTCAAATTGAACTGATTTAATTAAAAGTTATGAAAATAAGTTAAAGCGTCACTTTATTGGAAAAGAAGAATCTTTAAATAAACATCAATAGTGATATCTATAAATAAATAAATAATTAGGACAAAAATATGTCACGTGATAACAGTTTAAGTCCGTGTCCACAAGTATGTCTTTGAAGGGATGGAGTCGATTTGGTTCAAACTTACCACATTTAAAATTTCTAAATTTCAGTTAATTCACAAATGGGTTACATAAGATAGTTAAGGTATAGCCCATCTAATGCCTCATAAATGATTGATATTTTTGAAAATTCTTTACTAGTTTTAACAACTAGTTTATACAAACTAAATTGGAAAATATCAATCGATTTGCCGACAAAATTTGTACCCTGACCAGTTAGAAAATACCTATGATCCTACTTATACCTATGACAGTTACCAAGTATATATGTTCTGTTCCAGAACTGAACTTTTTACTACGATAACAGACTTTCCCTTCATGATATCGAAAAAAAAATTACAGAACCAGTAGATTCTTAGAAGTTCTGGATCAGAGCATATAGTAACCAGGAACCGACAAAGGCATAGAAGTATAAACATAGGAAAACACAGAGTCAAAAAAAAAACGTCTTTGGAATCGATCAGTTCTTCTCTTCTGTCGTTATTTGTTTAATTCTACGTTACGTATAGAATTTCTTAGAACATTTTCGTAATCGATTATATAGGCGAGGGTACTTAATCAGCCTGGCATCATGGCTAGGTCAAATTACAAGGGGAAACGACTGCAGGATTCAAGTGCGTCTTTGGTAACCCTATCTGATTGTAAGAAAATATGTCATGCTGAAGTACATGCCCCCAACTCAACTTAATTTTGTGAAACACATTAACGTGTTCAAAAATCCATTTTCGCACCTGACTTATTAAAATGGGCCGTAGTCCTGGACTACAAACGCCATACAAGTGTTTAAACATTTTTTTTTTTTTTTTTTTGGAGAAGTTCCAGAAATGGGAAACTGTTACATCCCAATTTCCTCACTTGATCTTATATAGACAGATGTATTAGGAAGTGCGAATCAGGTACTAGACTCTCAGTATAAGATAGCACTTATTTTTTACAAAATTAAGTGAAAGTACGTGAAATAGTTTAATATTATGTATCTTTGCACCCGAAATAAGCATAATAGAAGTACACGAGCTACTTCGCTTTTTATAATATATATGTGTGGGTGGGGTACCAGAAGGGGTTGGAAGATATTTATCATCTGCACAACAGACCTTGCTTTAGAAAAAATGTTTGGATGTCTAAAATTTTAACAGAGTTGGGAGTTTATACCGCGTTTTGTTTTTCAAAATTTTTGAATCCTTTGTGGGGGAAGTACCGGAATGAGTGCTCCGATATGTCCCATATGCACAGCATATCTTATGATAGTAAAAATATTAGCATGTGTGAAATTTTAAGAGAATCCAATACTAATTTCATATTTTATAATTGTTTTGGTTATTCAAATTTTTGATCCTTTGTAGGGGAGGTACAAGAAGGAATGGTCCTATCTCTACCATTTTTATAACAGATTTTGTGTTGATAGAAATATTGAGATGTGTCAAATCTGAATGGAATCAGATGTTAATTTTATGAGCTTCCTGGATATTGAAAATGTTGACCCTTTGTGGGGGAGTTACCGAAATGAGTGAACAGATATATTCCATCTTAACACCAGACCTTGGGTTAATAAAAAATATTGTTATATGTGTAATTCGAAGTCAATCGGGTACGTACATCACATTTTATAAGAGTTAGAATTTTCAAAAATGTTGATCCTTTGTGGGGGAGGTACTTGATGGAGTGGACCTATATTGTCCAATTTTGCACCTGACCTAGCACTGATGCAAATACTAGGATTTGCAAAGTTGGATTATACATTCTCTTTCTGTGCAGTAAAATATTTTTTGGTTGAAAATTTCGTCATTTTGTGGGGAGGTACCAGAAGGATAGACAGATATTGCTCATCTCCGAGCTCGATCTAAGATTGACAAAAATATTACGATGCATCAAGTTTGGACAAAATCGAATACTCCCTAGGAGAGTTATCGTTCACACCTGCCAGGCAGACAGGCAAATGTCCAGATTTGGCTCAAAGATACCTAAGGTCTAAAACTAACTAAGATCTAAACTAACTAGCTATATGACTGAGGGTATTAAAATATTCGCGGCTGAATGAAAATTGTCGATTGTTTCACACAAAAAAAATATGACTTATGCAAGGTCCTATAATTGTGACCTATAAGCTGCTTAAAAATTCGCAAAATATTTAACTTTCACCTCCCACAACATTAGGCTTCTATTCTGACCCTAGCCCTAACTTCATGCAATATTTCGTGATAGGACCATAATTGTGTAGCGGGATTACATATTAACATGGACCAGTGAAAAGATGAACGGACGAACACACATAGATAGATCTACTCACCTCCGCGAGACAGGAAGATCCACATAGTGATGAAGTGTGAAAAAAGAATTAATAAAAATTTCCTTAAGAAAATAATAAATTGGAAAAAAATCTTGGAATAACAGTTGAAATGTAAAAGATAGAATGTGCAAATTACCAGTGAAATGTTTAGAATACTTTTAGAAAAAAATGAAGTTTTCAAACTCTATTACTAGCATAAAATCGAATTATTAATCCCAATTGGCGTTTGGGAAACTTGAATTCACATATCCCGACAAGATAAATATTTTCTAGTTTATTTTAAAAATATATTGAAGTTTGTGTTAAGGAATTTGATTTAAAATATCCTTTTTAACTCTAAACAGCTGATATGTCAATAATACGAACCTTCGCAGGATGTCAAAAGTAATAATGATTACAAATGTTAAGGAATTTTTGATTGTTTTCAGGTCAATAACTCTTATACAACCTCCAACAAGCAATACTAAACTGTTATAATTAACAGAGAAACATTTTAATAGAGAATAAGCGAAAGAGAGAGAGAGAGAGAGTAATAATCAAAGAGGCTAATTCTAACATTCTGTGTTGACAAAATAACCGCTATACAAAGTAAATATTAACAGAGCCAGTGACTTTTTGAGAGCCACCCTTTGTCTGTGTGTGTGTGGGTCTCCCTTTGTGAGTGGAGAGCACGACTCATGAATGGGATTTACTCACGCAATCACTTAAACTGTTAACAATTCTAAATGCCTTCTGGCAAAACAAGACGATGTTTAGCAGAAAACATACAAAACAGCCAACCAACCAGCCAGGCAGGGAAGGCAAACATCAACAGCACTGGCAGTCAACCTGAAAAACAGGGCCATTAACAGCGCCCAACGACAACGAAGTGTGGAGAGCAACGAATTCTGATAAGAATTTGAGACACGAATACAACAGAACCAACAGCAGCCGCCTCTGCTTGGGCTTGGGCTGACTAGCAGTCTGTGTGCAGAGAATGTGTAATAACGACAAATACGAACAGCAGTAGTGTTATCCTGTGAGTCGTGAATTAAGCACGCGTTTCCAGTAATGTGCGGTAGTTTTGCGGGCGACTTTTTTACTTGGAGTCCGCACAATTTGACAGTGTAAACAGAATATTTGGAGAAAAAAAATATAATTCATGCAAAAGCAAAATAAGGAAAAAAGTAATAAAACGAATTCCTTGAGTCTAAAAATGGAAAATTATTTTTAAATGGAAATTACATAAAAAAGAATAGGAAAATTGTTGTGGAAAATATGTCCTAAAAATTTCAAAGGTGAAAATTACTTCCAAAACAAGTTGAAAAATTACATTACGAAAAAGTTACATTGCGATCTAAGAATAAATATCATAATAAACCAGCGGCCTCAAAAAGTCAGTTTTGGCCATTGTTAAGCTAAAATAAAACTTACTTTGCCAACTTACCTTTGCAAAACATAATTAAAAATAGCTCTTATTTACTTTGAGAGTTTCTGCAACGGCTGTGTTGTTGCTGCGGTTCGTTTGTGTGGTTTTTTGCCTTCTCATTACAACGACAGCATCCTGTGTGTGTGTGCCATAGCCACCTACTCCTACCATCTTCATCACCTTAGCCAGACTGTGCCAGCCAGCCAACCAAGCAGCTAGTCATGATGATACAGCTGTTCTGGAATATGTGGTCTCTATAAATTAAGGCATACTTCTAGGCTGCCATATGTGTGTTCTATGCAACTCGTATTTATGTGTGTTTATGGGTAAACAGAACAAGTGTGCGGTTAATGCAACTGTTGTTGTTATTGTTGTTCACCCACTTCTTGTGTGTCTATCTCTCTCCATATTTCTGGCTGAGTGAACAAATAAATTTCGCAAAATAAAAAAAAAAACGAAAAAAGTGAAACAAAACAAAACTTTGCAAGGTGAAAGTATTGTGTCTCAGGTGTGATGAAGTGTAATGGTGGCCTGTAAAAGAAAATCTGGATATGGATATAAATTACCACACTTTCGCACGCTATAATGTGGTGGTAGAAAAGTGAAAACTGTTTTGTACAAGGCTGAGACAAAGAATGCAGTTGTAGATAAATGAAGCATACTTTTGGGATGTTCTAAATAAAGAAATAATCTAAAAATAAAGAAAGTGAAAAAAGAGAAGGCTGCGTAGGAAAATAGTAGAATAAAATATTTTTTTTAAATTTCATATAAAAACAAAGCATACTTTTAGAATGATCTGAAATAAAATCAGTGTTTAGAGGAAAATAGTCTGGAAATATTTAAAATAAATTTAATGAATTAAATGGAATTAAGCCGAACTATTTTTGCAACAACAATAAATTCAAATAATAAAAAAGATCTTTAGACAGATCATGATCAGATCATATAAAGTGAAAAAGCATAAAACAGCTTTATGGAAAAAATTATACTGAGATTGAAATAAATAAAAAATGAAAAATTTTTGATGAAGAAATGGAAAATATTGACATAAAATCTTGAAAAAAGTTTTATTTAAAAAAAATGATTTCTTAAAGTGGATATATTATAATTATGGCATACTTTTAGGCTGAATCTGAAACAAAAATTGAAATATTGCAACATAAAGTGGAAGTATTATAATCACAACATACTTTCAGGCTGAATATGAAAACAAAAATACCAATTTGGAAATAAAAATAATTGGAATAATTGAAAAAATATCGGAAAGTATATTTTAAAAATATATAAAAATTGTTTCATAAATATTTTGCAAGTCAAAGTTTTTTAATAAATAACTTCACGAAACAAACAAACATAATCAAATACCAATTTTTTAACAACTTCAACAAACAAGCCACCCACGTTTCTTTAAATAAATCACTCACGCGAAAAAAGTGTTTAACAAAAATTTAATAAACCAAACCAATTTGTTTATATTCTGCAAGGAAAAAAAGTTATTTTTTTGCCATCATCATTAAGTCAGAAAACTCCTCTCTTTCGACTCCACTCTTTGTGGACCAACCAACTTTAAACTTTTCCCCGGATCAATAAAGAAATTATGCAAATTTAGTCATTCATTGGACATGTCGAACAAAAAGTCCATAACACAACAAGCAGAGAAGTTGTAACACGCAACAACCACGCAACCCCACAAAGAAGGACAACAATATAGCGGAACACCAAAAAAAAAGTAATACAAGGAAGGCCAACAAATAGAAGTAAGTAAAACAACAACAGAAGACAACAAAAACTTTGTTTACTTTTCATCTTTGTAGTAGTTGTTGTAATATTTTTTTGTTACAAAACAGATTAAAAGTTTATTTAAAGTAAAAGTAACAGCAAGACGACGAACAAAACACAAAACTTTTGTTTTCGTTTTTTTTGAAGAATTCCTAAACGTGACAACATGAAGCTCTAAACGAATTTTGTTTACCCTTTGCAACTTGGCCGGATAGGTGGTAGTAGGCATTGGGAATTCCGAGGAAAGCTTTGCCATAAAATAAAATAAACTTTTTTAAGAGGCTTGCATTAGCAAACTTCTAAGAATGGTCTTAATACTTTAAAGTAATTTATTTCGTTTTGCTGATGGTTTTTTGTTTCATGGGACACTTTTTTTTTTTTTTTGGTTTCTCATTTGGGACATAACGAGAGAATTGAATTTCTTAAATAATATAAGGCATTGTTGAATGTCTTTAAGAAAATGAGCAAGTAAATGGAGATTTTACCGGAGATAGAGTACTATTTTCTAATCCATTTTATAAATATATTGGGGAATAGTATTTCGTAATGCAATTACTTTACCCTGGGGGATTAAAAATTTTTCGATGTTTTTGTTTTCCATTTGAAAATGATTGGATTGAATAAACAAAATGTTAAACAAAAAAGTAAAGGGATTAGAACAAACTCTATTTCAACCTTTATATCTTTTCGAGTATTTTTAAGGTATTGAGAGAAGAAAGTTCATTTTTATTTTAAAAAATCCCAATAGAAGCTAAATATTTGCTGCATAAGATGTACTTAAAATTGTAAAAGTTTAAAGAAAGAAATGTGAAATTTTCACCAAAAACTTATCAGCAGGACAGGTAAAACTCCAGAAGAGTTTTGTCTTTCAAAAAAAAAAAAAAAAAAAATAATAATAATAATAATAAATAAATAAATAAAAAAATAAATAAATAATAAATAAAAATAAATAAATAATAAATAAAAATAAATAAATAAAATAATAATAATAATAATTTTGAGAACAGTGTTTGGTTGGTTGTTCAGGGTTACCGTAGTAATTCGTTGTTGCAAATTAGTTTGGCATAATTCCATTATTGTTTTTTTTATAAAAACAAGGTTTGTTTGTTAAAGGAGAAAAGTTTTAATGTTTACCATTGGGTAAGGCAGGAAACATCTAGGTTTCGGAAAGAGTCACCAATCCTCATAACTTCCCTTGGTTTTTGTCTGAGGGTATTCTCCCCAGGAGTTATGACTCCTCTGACGATAAACTTTTTTCTCCTCAATAATGAACATGTTCATCTCTCTAATAATAATTTTTATTTAATTTCTTATATTTATACCCTCCGCCATAGTATGGAGGGTATATTAAGTTTGTCATTTCGTTTGTAACACCTGGAAATATACATTTTATACGCGACAAAATATATATGTTCTTAATCAGCATAAAATTCTATGTCGATTTATACGTCCCTCCATCTGCCCGCCCGTCTGTCCGTATGTGGAAATCACTCTAGCTTCCGAACAAAATGAAGTAGGTTGATGAAATTGTACTCCTATGTATATTATGTCTGCAGGACTGTTGGTATTGAAAATGGGCCATTTAGGTCCACATCTTGGTATAGCCCATGTAACGGTACCTCCCAATATTCGGTACTTTGATGCTTTTAGCGACATTCTTCACCGGAATTGTTTTAAATTTGGTATTTAAAGTTCGCAAGCGATACTACAGCCTATCGCAGAAAATTGTCTGTGCAGGTCTTCGAATAGACCACCCCCCTAATATAATGGTACCTCCCTATAACCTCCATATAGCGTAAGTTCCAAATTTTATGGATTTTGAGGATTGTGCATGGTAGAGAATATAAACAGTTTGGCCCAGCAATAGTTACGTTGTTTTTAATGTAATTATCATTAAAGCCAAAAAATATGCAATGATTCGGGTGATTAAAATGTTGGATTTTGTGATCTTTGAATTCAAATTAAAAATCCATCTAATCGGTGTTAAAAGTTTTTATTTAAAATTCACCCAAAAACTCTAAGATCGAAATCGACTAGAGTTTGGGAAGTAAAACAAAAAAAAAAAAAAAAAAAAAAAAAAATAAGGACCTGCTTTTTCATAAACTCTGCAAAATTGGACTAATTCCAGGAGTATTTTTTAAATTGAATTAAAATAAAAATAAAAAAACTAAAATACATACTAGTGATGGACATTTTTCTTTCGAGTTCACATTCTAATCGTCAAATAAAAACAGGACATAACTGATTGAAGAAATTAAATAGATTACTTTGTTGAAGGCAAAAGTCGAAAACTCTAAATTATACCCACAACGTAATCCTCAATCTTGAATCGATTCAAATAGACTGTGGGTTGATACATAAAATATAAAAATCATTTCATTATTTTTTTTCTAAATGGATATACCCAAAGGTCGACTATTTTGTTCAAGGAGTAATTCGTAAAGTAACTTTGAAATTTTGCTTCCAATTACGTATCTCTACTTCAAGCGTGGTTGATGTTGGTAATGGATTGTGTATCATAATGGGCCTTGACGGGTTATTTTGTTGTTTGGTATATTTGTAGCTGCTATTTGACATTAAAAGTTATCAGAGAGAAAAATATCTTCCTAGAAATATATGCCAACTTAGGTTAACTTTTTTTAAATAGATTGAGGGATCAAAAATATTATCAATTTTTATGCCCTTTTTGATGGAAAGGAAGAAGCTATCTTTCCATCAAATAGGGTATAAAAATTTATTTTTTTCTTTTAGTTTTAATGTCATGAAATTGGGCCAAGTTGTATTAAGAAATTTAATATAAAATTCCGAATTTTGATTTTTTTCAATTTTTTTTTCAAACGACTTAATTTTTATAAAGACAAAAATATTCTCATTAGAAAAAAAACGTGTAAAATTAAAATTCTTAAAATAAATGAAATGGAAATTAAGTTTGGAATAACGTAATTTTAGAAAGGCACAATTTCCCAAATTGGATCTACATTGTTCAATGTTTGACAATAAAAATATGAAATTTTTAACCTTTAGACTGAGCGAAAGTTTTGTTCACCTCCAAAATAACAAAAGTCGATAGTTATCCCTATATGAGCCTATATATGTTTTTATTTAGGTTTTCTATTCCCAGACAACCCGAATTGCTAAATTACATCGAGAATTGCAGCTGAAGCTACAATGAATATTTTCTGTGGGAAGAGTTTATATCTTCCTAGAGCTTGAAACACGGTTATTTGTAGGCTATACCAAATAATGTACCGCTATTGAATTTTTTGCCAAAAGGGACTCTACAAATTGAGAAATATCAAATGACATCCCATTTGGTTTGAGATTATTGCTGAAAATATATTTCTATAAATGAACAGAAAAAAATTATTAAAAAATAATTAAATAAATTAATTAATGAAAAATTATAATTTTGGTAATTTAGAATTCGATTTTTCATGTCAAACTTCCTTTTCTGAAAAAAAGTTAAGTTAAAAGTTACCTCAAAAAGTGTGTAACACTGTGAAATATTGCTCCGAGAGCCAGGATGTTATAAAGGGATCTGCCGATCTAGCTATTTGTGTTCGTCCATTCATCTGGTCATGTTAATTTATATTCACGCTACATGTCGCAATTATGCACTGATCCTCATGAGATTTTACATAAATTTGGGGTTAGGTTCGTTGCTTCCGGAGATGATTGCAAGATATTTAGGGGTTGGAATGGGCAAAAAAAGAAAAATTTCCTAATTTTGCCGTTGCTGTAGAGGGAACGACAATTGACCAACCAAGGGGGTTAAAATCCTACCGATTTGGATGGTCATCCGATAATGTTTAGAGGGTGACCATAACTTTTATGCAATAAAAACCAAAATTTCGATTAAACCCAAATATTTTTAATCCCGACAAAAGCGCAAATATACGAAAAAGTCACTGCGGACCATTACATTGATATCGGTTGCACGGATTTTAACAATTCCCAACAATTCGGAATGGACTTTTGGCAGAAACGTATATAGATAAAAGAAATAGGTTTGCTCTGCATGACTATAGCCTTTGCATACATGTTTAAATTTGAAAAAGTAAAATAAATATTGAAATTGAGCCTCAGAGCCTCAATTCTTGTTCTGTGAAAATGTGAAAATTTTTATAAAGTAAAGAATTGTCGAATAAAAGATTTTTAGAAGAAATAGTTTTCATTTCATAGAACCAGAATTCAGCCCTAGCAGATGACCTATTTTAATTTTCCAAATACTAATTTTGAGCGAAATTATACTTTATGGGGCAAGAACTTTTCAATGCAGGCAGTCAATGATTTCATATCTTTAGTGAGCTCAGAGAATATTTCTTATTCTACATTAATTTTTGTATCTGTTCAGGCTAAAAACACCACAAATATTCTATTAATATATATAATATATTCTGGAAATATTCTATTAATTTGGTAGGAAAATGCTGATAAACCCTATAGTCGACATGAAACATTGTTTTTTGATTTTCTAAAAATTTTATAAAAATACATTAGTTATCACAAAATAAGTATTTTGGAATAAAAATAAAAATAATCAAAACTTTCGCAACATCCTAAAATCTAAAAAATTTTATGAAATATTTAAAAAGGGCACCTAGAAACACGGTCATTTTTTGTGAGGAGATTTCTTCCCTAGAAAGGGACAATTTGGCTCGAAAGTTTGGTCCAGACATTCAAAATTCTTTCTTATAATGTAGCAACGTTGTGTGGGTTGTATCAAAGAATAGACTTACCGAACAAATTGTTTACAACCTGATAATTGGTAATTTTTTAATTATCTTAAACCAAAAATAAAATAATATGGGAGCTATGGCGAAACTAGGAATGTTCCCTAAATCGGAACTAAAAATGATAATAACTTTTCAAATTACAATTATATCTGAAACTAGTCATAGGAGTTGTTTATTGAACTTTTAGTAAGCCGCATCTCTAAAGTAGGAGTGGTCCGATCTTATATTACCCTCCAGATCCT